ATAGTCAAAGAAAAGGAGTGTTTTTGCCTGGTGCCAAAATGCTTGCCGCAATGGTACCAGGAGCACATCTCTGGGGAGCCTATTCCAGAGGTGAGGGGCTACCACCAAGACGGCCTTTCTCCTACACAAATTGCTGTTCACCTTCCCAGGGGGGTGGCTTTTTAAGAAGGCCCTCCTCACTTGATCTTAGCGGTTAGGCAGAGGCATACAGGAGCATAGTCTAGTCACACTTCTACATACATCTTCCCTCTATATCTCCTTTACTCTGAATCATCACCACTTGCCCCTTAAGGCCTGCCTACATCACTTCCCTCCGATGGTGTTCAAGTGCCTCTGTCTGGGATACAGGTGCTGAGAGCCCACGTGGTGTAGTGGCAAGAGGACTGGACTGGGGACCTGCGGGATCAGGGTTCTAGTCCTCATTCAGCCATGAAGCTTACCGAGTGACTTTGGGCCAGTCACCAACTTTCACACTATCCTGCTTTACAGGATTGCTGTGACAATAAAACAGAGAGGAGGGGCGATCCTATAATAAGCTTTGCGTGGGGAAAAGGCAAGTTATAAATGAAATAACAAATAAAAGAAAACGTGCTACGGAGCCTGCCTCATTGAGGTTCAACATTCCCTACAAAAGGAGTAAGAGCAAACTGAAGCAACAGAAAATCAAATGCAGAGCAGGAACTGTAGGTAAGAACCTGAACTTCATCCTGTACTGAATGCACAACTCTGTCGTGTCAGCGGAGCAGCTCCCTAGCAGGAACATTTGGGGCATTGTTTAGCTTAGGAAGAAGGTCACGGGGGGGCATGACAGAGGTGCATCAGATTAGGCGTGTTGTGGTGAAAATGGAGAGGAAGGCACCTTTCTCCTTCTCTCATAATGCTAAAACCTGCGACGTGCTGTGAAGCCAACTGGTGGGAGGTTCAGGACAGATAAAGGGCACACGTCCTCACACACCACGGAGTATAACTATGGAAGGCACCCAAACAAGATACGGTGATGGCCGGCCATCTGGATGCCTTTGAAAAGAGACTGGACACATGCATGCCCTCCACGGCTCCTGTTCTGGATAGCTATACACTGCCTGCATTGTCAGAGGCAGGATGGCTGTGCACACCAGCTGCTGAGGAAGATGGGCAGCGGGGTGCTTCTGCCTGTGGAAATCTGTGGGCAGCTTCTTGGCCTGGCAGGGACAGAACGCTGGACTTGATGCGGCCTTCCTCTGAGTCAGCAGGGCTCTTCCTATGTTCTTGTGTTCACTTTGGAACAAGCGAGAAGGGCCGTTCTGCATCAGAAATGGCTGCTGCCAAAGCAGGGCAGTGTCGCTCTGACCAAAGGCGAGCTCTTCTCAGTCTTGTCCTCCGAAGCGCGCTCATCGTCCAGCCTGGCTAATCATAAGCTGCCGAGGTCCCATTCTAAGCACCCCCACTGAAGCACTTGTCAAATCTGTGCACTGAAAGGCGACTGTCCCTCCAAGGCGGTGACCCCAAATGCCAAGTTGCCTCTCTTTTCCCAGCCGCCACATTAATTGTCTTCCTCCTCCTCATTAGAGCACCACCAGGGGATGAAAGAGGCCTTTTGTCTGGCTCCCAAAGTGGGCAGGTCCACCAACAAAGCTTTCTGTCTTCCCCAGCATTCTGCCTCCACTCTGCTGGATTAAAGACATGCGTGTGCTTGCAAGGCCTCCGTGTGTGTCAATTAGATTGCCTCATTATCCCCTACCAATGGGTTGAGAGGATAAATGGGGGCAGCGGATATGGGGCGTAGCGGGGGCCCAGGCCTCTTCGCAAAGCTGGTATGTCCAAGCCAGCTATCAGCTTCCACGGGGGCTCAGAGAGGCAGGCCCATGGGGCTCCCTGACCACATGTTTTTGGATCTGTGCCTCCAGCTAAGTGCAGCAATGTACATTTAGCCACTTCATTCTGATTCTACAGAAATTGCTTACGCAAACTCTAAAATGGCCTGCGCCCACAATTTGTTGGCCTCCCACAAAGTTAAGTTCCCCAACCATTTCTATGCCACCAGTTCAGCAGCAGTTATCAATTAGCGAAGGAACAACCGCACAAGTTCATGGAAAGGCGCTCAGGCAATACTGAGGTTCAATCCTTCGGCCCTCTCTGTGCAGCAAATCCTCCTCCTCCCTCCTGTAAATTTTGCGCTGTTTTAATTAAGCATCTGCATATATTTCTTCTCTCTCTTATAGACTGTGGTCTATGATGAAAGCACTTGTTAAAGTGCCAGCCCCATCAATCTTTTCCCGATAGCATTCATCACCAAAAGGGCATGAGCATTAACTTGCACTATATCCTCCAGCTGACAGCAAGCACATTTTTTCCAGTTCATTAAACACTTGCTGAGCTGCAAGGAAGAGTCTCTGCTCAAACATCAATTCCAGCTCAAATGTATCAAGAGCACCTTTCTGCGGAAATCTACTTTTAAACCTCTTTGTGATGGTGGAATCATGTGAACATCCAAACATGCGTGTACACACACACCCTCTCCGATACTGGTGGGAGCTAAAGATAAACATTAGGTCTTTGTTTATAAACTGGGGGTGTCACTCATTGGGGCAGGGCCGTCTTAATGCATGGGCCTGATGGGCACTTGCCCATACTAATCTGTGAATGTTAACCCTTGGAAAATTGGAAAACTTCCAAAATTAACAGTAGTTGTAGTTGTCGTAGGGGCCCCAGTACACTGCTTTGCCCGGGGCCCATCATGCTGTTAAGACGGCCCAGCACTAGGGTGTCCTTTACAGCAACCAAAGAAAGTAGCAGCAGCAACCCAGGTCAGAGTTGTGGTCTGCAGCCAGAACTGTAATAAATGTTCCAATGCTGCACAGGTTTACCTGAAAGATTAGGGTAGCTCCAGACAGAGGGCTTTGAGAGTACTACCAATTAGAAAGCCTCATGTAGCAGCTCCATCTTCCTCAGCCCTCTTAATGGATCTTTTACCACAAAGAAACAGAAAGGAGAAGCAGTGAGACCAACAAGATTGCAAGTGGGAGTTGATACCAAAAAAAAAAAAAAAAGACCGGGCAATGGGCTATAAAAGTTTTGTTGGGATGTGCACTTCTAGAATGTAGAGCACTCTAGGAGGCAGACCATTGCACCCCCAACTCTGCCAACTCTGACTGGCAGCTGCTTTCCAGGGTTTCAGGTAGGCATTTTTCCAGCCCTACCTAGGGATTGATCTGGGATCTTCTGCATGCAAAGCAGGTGCTCAGCCCCTGAGCTCTAGGCACTCCCTTTCTGTGTTAAGAGGAAAGGCACAAGTGAGAAAACATGGGGGCGAGGGTTACCAGTGGAAGCTAACCGGATTTGAACCCCCTCTAAAATTCTGTGACTGCAAGCGGGGCAATTGCACGATAAAAGCCTTCTCTGGAAGCATCCTTCCTCTGGGTTTTAGCAGAGCTTGTTAACGTGCACACAAAAAAGAGCAAGATATGAGCTATGAGATTACTCATATTTGGCACTCACAGGCGACCCATTTATTTGTAAAAATGTGAATACTATCAATGGTGGAGCTCAAAAATGCTCAGGGTAAGGCCAGTCACTATTTCCCAAATGATTTGCTTGTGCATCTGCTTTACTTATGGAGCTGTTTAAGGGCCTCCAGAGAGAGTCCTGGCTTGGTCCTGAAGCTACTCTGCCTCTGTGTGACAGCTGCCCTTTAGAAGTGAAGTTAATTCCTGTGGACACTGCCCAAAAGATCTAAGCAAGCCTCAGGAGAGCACGCTTTCTGCATCTCTTGCATCTGTCAGATGGGAGCAACAGCGGTTCCAGCTCACCGAACTGTCCTGACAGTGGCTGAAAGGAGGACCTCATGTTATATGTTCACTGTTAATTAACACATCAATCATAAAGGAAGCCTTCATCTCATCCACACCATCAGCCTAGGCTAACACACTGATTCCATAAATGAACGAGGCAACGTCTTTCCTTGTAAAGGTCAGCCCTTGTGGGGCAGCCATGGTCTGCCTCACACAGCCTAATCTAGGTCGGGAATCCAATCATCCAGTTACTTCTCTAGCTCACAGATTCTTCCTCTCACAGCTCCCTCTCCCTTGCTAATTAATACCAACAGTGATTCAAAGGAGAAATCAACAATATAAAGCCACACTGCATTTTAGCACACCCATTCTCCAGCTTCTCCAAGGTGTCATCCTCCAAGGATTGGGGATGGCAGGATAACATTCCTTTTCAAGCTATAATGAAAAGGAAGATGGGGAAAAATGGTACAGTTTCCCCATGCAGACAACGGAAATATGTTCCTCTTGAAAGCAATGCCTTTGGAGTTGGAGTTCTTTCTTAAAATTATTGCTTCTCTGAAGCATTAGAGAACAAGAAAGGGTGACCAATTGCCTTAACAAGAGGAGGAAAGAAGTGGGGGCGTGGGTTGCAAAATTCAAAGTTTCAACAAACTGGAGTCCACGTGTGCAATTTTAATGGTACGATTGAGGAGTGATGAAGTGGAGACTATTCATAACAACCTTGATGCCAGAGATATTTGAGGCTGTTAAAAGGTGAGGCTGGGAGGGTGCTTCCTTTCCCACTGATCCTCACACAGCCAAAAACAGCAAGGTACCAAGTAGTCAAAAACAACACATACACACACACACCCAAAAAACACAAACATCTCTATTTTGTACCACTGCACAGGCTGGCATGAAATATAGGGGCACTTTTGTCATTTTGTGTCACTGTTTGGGTCCTCGTGGCACTGCATCCAGTCAGAGCTTTTCAGGCTTTTAACACATCTTGATGTGGGAGACAAACTTCAGCCAGAAGTCAGACTTGCAGAGATGTGCGTATGATGAATCCCAGCCATCCCCCCACAAAGTAGAAAATGAACTGCTCTGACCCTCCACTGTCTGAGGATCGGGGTGCCTGACCTATTGGGGATGAAAGGTGCCCCGCAAGGGTGTGTAGCGTTTCAGTGGGAAACACTGTGAAGTTTTCCCTAACCTCTGTCAGAAAAAAGCAAGCCAAAGAGGACTTACCCTCTGCTGACTATCAGCCTCAGCGCATCCAAGTTGCCATGGTAGGCAGCCCACAGGGTCGGGGTCATGCCATCCTCGTCAGGTGAGTTGAGGTCCTTCTTGGTGGCTTCCTTAAGCAGATCGAGGTAGCCGTCCCTGGCTGCTCGGTGGTACTGGTCATTCATTGTGCAGCCTTACTCCCTGGCCATGTCGTTGGGGAGGGGGAGAGGGGATAGCACAAGAAGGGGCATTGAGCCGGATGGGAGAGATTCAGGGAAGCAGCCACTGGAGAGGAGGGCAAGAGGGGGAAGGAGCTTTGTTACTTGGACACCTGAGAATCCCCAACCAGCGAGGGGAGGAACTCCTCATATCGGATGCATGAGCTGATTTTCTGCAGATTCCCCTGGGTCCTAAGCAATGCTCTTTTCTCCCCTGCACTGGGTTCACCTTAGCAACCTCTGCGCAGTAGGTGCCAGTCCTGCCCACTTCCTAGCAGAGAAATGGACTGGAAATGCCGCAGAGTTTGGGCTCCCTGTCCACACCATCGCCTCGCCCACATGGAGAGAGTTCATTTTCTGCTGGCTATTTCCAGGAAATGATTCCCCCACCCCTTTGACTCTGGCCAATCTCAGAAGTCCACTTTTTGGATGGAAGGATGGAAGAGCTACAAACAGTTCCAAACATGCTTCTGAAAACCTGACCTCCCTTCAACATTTCCATCAAGCCCAGAAGGTCCTTTGTAAGACAGCAAAGTCACGTTTGCCAAAAGGCAGGCTGAGAAGGCAGGTGGCCGTCCAGCCTCAGCCCCTGGGGCATGAGAACGCTGCTACGGCTGCTCTGGAGTGCCTCCCCGCTTCCAAGGCAGGGCAGCTGTCGTCAGAGGAAGGCAAAGGCCTGCTGGTGCAGCTGTGCAAGCCCTGGTGTCTATATGAGCAGAGGAGAGGGGGCCCACTCTCCCGCCCTGGCCCAGGCCCCATTACACCTGCAACTGACCCATGGCCAGTCCTAGCATTAGGCTGGGGATAGGTGATTTGGCATACAACTCCCATCCTCCCCTGCCACTGGCTGTGCTGCTACGGCCGAAGGAAGTGGTAGGGCTAGTTATAACTGGAGGCCGACCCCCACACTAAGCAGAGTGAGCAGCCATTCCTTCAGGGCCCCTTGGCCATTCTCCATGCTTCCGTGCTAGAAGGCAGGGCTGCTCTCCTGCATCCAGTGCTGAGGCATGACTCAGCCAGCAGCCTGCTCAGCAGCCAAACATGGAGCAAGAGGAGGCCTCTCCTCCCACCTCAGACAGAAGAATGTCTTTAAGCCAGGGCCCGACTCTGTCCCCAGCCAGCTTCCTGTCAGGCCAGCAACTTTGCATAAGGGCCGCAAATGGAGAGGCCCTGGGGAGGACAGCCCAACGGTAGTGCCTCCACTTACACAGCAGCAAACAGAAGGACATCCATCTCCAAGCAGGGGCACTGATGGGCGAAATTGTGTATATGCTAATTTACACATGTAGGTGTGGATGCAGATTCAGATACAATGCGATAGAAATGCAAAACACTTCACCCCGGAGGAGAAGGCCGTAGCCAGGCTCCCAGTGGCCCTTGTGTTCACTGCACCGCCCAGGTGCTGTTGATGGGTAACCTTCAGGCCAGCACTTCCTTCAGGTGGTTCTTTATGCCAGATGCAGCCTTCAACTAGAGAACCATTCCCTGTGAAGTAGAACTTAGGCCACTCTGCCCTGTGTGCCGATCCCAGGATGAGAATCTAAGCACATGAGGCAAAGATATGCCTAGGGCTCCGCAGCTGAGTTTCATGGGAATTGTGTATGTACACACTGGTGTCTCCCAGTGAACGTCTGGCAAAGGAAGGCATACACCCGGGTGCTGATGGGTGGTGTTCCCACCTGGCCCAGGCCCAGAGTACGACCGGCCTGCATGAAGCAGTGCTCAGGGCTGTCTCACACAACACGTAACCCCAAATCCAGGCCTGTTAAGTGCCTGCTTTTCAACAGGGTGCCTTAAGCCTGGCTATCTCGTGGATATACCAGAATGTTACACCTACTTCCCACACCTATTTGTTGCACTGACAATTTACAATACATCTAGACTTAAAACAAAAATGAATCACCCGTGATTGTATTCCAGAGCCACAGTCCCGCTTCCCTACTCACATGGTAACAACTGGTCCTCTGACGCCATCTGTTGCTCAGAGAATGAAATTCACCAGAAACCCTTTGTCAGAAACGTTTCTTTTCTTCTGGCCTTACTGAGCTAACAATAGGTTGAATACGTCAGTTTAATTGGGCGTGATGATTCCACCATCCCCACCCTTTGGACAAGAAGGTACATGGGTGCTGGCAACTCATTGCCAATGACCTTTATCCACAGTATAACAATAGCAATCTTCCAGCCAGTCAGAAATGTGCTTCTCTGAAGAATAGGCATAGGTAATAAATTATGGGAATATGGATCCACAGCATTGCTAAACTTTCAGGTGTTCTATACTTACTTCAGGAATATAAACATTTCTTGAAATGGAATTGGGGATACCCTCTTGTTAACCAGCCTCTGCAATTGTGCCTATAATAGTGATTTAATTAGCAGATGTTAGTAAGTGATTAGTAGGTATTTGGCTCTCTCTTTTTGGTCTCTTTATTAGGTGATTATGTGGTAAACTGGTGTGTATTTATGTGTATAAAAAATCCTGCATGTTCTCCCATTTTAGCTTCCATTTGTTCCTACAACCCTGTGAGGTTGGTTAGATTAACAGTTGGCCAAGTTTGGCCAGTGATCTCATTTAAATAGGAAGCCATATCTTCTCTGATCTAGTGTGACACTGTAACCACTAATCTCACTGGCTGTTTATGGACAAAACCTTTAAAATGCAAAGACAGCTCTCTTAATGTTTTGGCAGGCACCACAGCAGAAATTGATTACTCAGTAGTGGGGCCACATGTGAATTGCCAAAAGAAAGGGCCATAGATCACCAAAACAGGGCCCTGCTTCACTTGCCCACTTATAGCCATAGATCCAACTTGAGAAAGAATTGCTCTCATTTGAATAGAAATCTGCTACATCTCACCTTAGTGGGGAAGACTGTGATGAGGCACCCTTTGTGCCTAACTCAGGGGCAGCCCAGGTGCTGCTGATGGTGGGGCAGGTATAGAAAAAGATCTGAGTCAGGCACAAATGTGTGTATTTTCCTTTACCTATGAGAGAGAGAGATTAAAGAACCTTGTCTTTGAAGTACAGCCCTATTTGTAAAATTTCATTTTGGGGTGGAGGGGCCAGCAGAAAGATTTGAGGGAGAGGCAGCAGAAGGTGAAGCACCTGTGAGAAAAACACCTGCTAATCGAGGGGAACCTGGTTTAACAGAGATTTTTCCGGGTTCCTGTATCTTTATCCCACAAGTACCCAAGGTCAGCAGGCTGGTGGGGCAGATGTCCTCCCAGAGGTGCAGGACTCCAGCCCTAGTGGGCCACCCTGTAGCACTTCTTCTGGTTGATGGGCAACCTCAAGGCCTGGCTCTTCCTCCTGAAGGTTTTTTATCTTTATAGCACTTGGGCTGGACCTCCAGCTAGAGGATGCCTTGCAAGATGGAGGTTCTGGCAGCCTTTCAAATAGCAGACTGTCTTCTTTAAGAGAGGATGCATGGCCACCCTATGACTCGGCAGTCTGTGCTGCCGGCATATGGCCAAGGCAGATGATCCCCTCAAGGCATGGGAAGAGGCTCCTTGCAGTGGTCTTGTTGGCAGAAATCAGCAGCGGAAGCTTCCGCCAGCCTACATGTGGTAGTGACTGAAGCTGCCTGTTGAAGGCCCCACACACGGCTGGGAGGGGAAGTGCACCGCTATGTAGAGGATCTTCCCAGCTCAGGACTGGCAGGTGGATTCCAAGCCAAGACCAGTTCCAACTCATGTGCTGCTCTCAATCGGATTGTGTAAAACCCAAACCGAGGAATGCTGTGCCAGAACCTCTGCTCTAGTCTGCAGGACAACTTGTGACAAGCTGTCCTCTTCTTCCCATTTTCCCAGCAAGTGTCCTTGAGCCCATCCCTCTCTCTTTTTGCTTCCCTAAAAACAGCCCAGGCACAAAATGGATTGTGTCAGCCTTACTGAGAAGTTTATGAAGCCTCCCTGTCAGCCTTGCCAATGGTATAAATCACAGGGACATCCAGGCAGATATATATTCCTGGGCAGCGCTGAGCTGGGGCAAGAGGAAGCTGTTGCAAAAGCTGTGGTGAAGGCAGAAGGTCAGCGCACAGGCAGAAAGCAGGTTGGTGGAATGGTCCTTGGCTGTGGCTATTGCTCTCCTCTCTTTGTGCCTATTATTATTATTACTTCTGCTACTACTTCTATTTTCATTTGCCCCGTAGTCAAATTATAATAACTGTCATGGCATCAACGGTGCCATGCTTTATAAGAGTACTCAGAAGCGCTTCCTGCTGTGTCCAGTAGGACTTTCTTCTGGATAAATGGTACTTGCTCCTTGGCAAAGTTTTTCTACATGCTTTCCTGGAAGTAAGATCCACTGAGCAGAGTGGGACTTACTTAAGAGTAAACATGCATAGGATTGCACTGTGCATCATTACTATTAGGAAGGAACCACGCTCTAATGATGCAGTCCTATCCTTGTTGACTTCAGGGTAAGCTCCATGGCTTCAACAAGCATTGCAGCCTAAGGCTGTAACTTTTGCATACTTACTGGATCCACCGGATTGCAATGCAAGCCACTCAGAGAAGGGACATCAATGGGTTAAGAGGCCTGTGCGGGGTCTGGTGGGGTCATTTCTCTGGCAAGCTTGTTAAGTGGGGGGGGGGGTTACCACACATGGCTAGTGGGCTGTGCTTGACTGGGTAGGTGATCAGTTAGCCAAAGTTTGATCTTCCCTAGATCTGAAAGGCATCCGGGATGATTTGCTACTGCCCTGCCTACTCTTGGGGTAATAGCAATGAAGTCTGAGTCAGGGCCTGGAAAGTAGGGGCATAGCCTTTAAAAAAATTCAACTAGACAACACATTCTCACCAAAAGAGGTCTTTCTTATTAAAAAGCACGCTGCCAACAGGGAATTCAGAAAGAAAGATCTACTGGATTTTACAAATTGGTGCACTAAAATGCAATCTCAGCTCATAGGCTCAGCATAAAGAAGGTCCTGTCACCATGACCAGCTGTGGTCAGCAAGGAAGGGTTTCTTGAGAATGTTAAATACGATGACTCATACCCCATTTCATCAAAAGGAGGTATCCCTGGTCTCATCCAATTTATATTTAAAAAGCAAAATGCAGAATCACACCTTGAATTTGAAGTTGCACCTTGCAACTTGAAGCCCACCTTTGCAATGTTTACAGTTCCCTTCTTTCTGCATCTGCCTCTTATTTAATTGTGTCATTACTTCAGCCTCTCATGTTTGAAATCAAACTAGACAACTGACATGAAATAATGCATTTTATCCTGATGGGCATTCCCTTTCTCCTTCTCTCTGTGCATGTTTGTGTGTTGCTTCACGCAGGAGAAACACAGCACTGCCTGTTAAATCATGACTAGTGTGTCTACATGGAAAGACAGTGAGATCAGACGTGAAGACTCTATAATGGGCTCTGGTCAAAAGGATGACAAGGGCAGCTTCGGACCTGACCCAGTATCTCCCCTTGGCCACCACAAGTTCTCCTCTACCTTGCCACACAGCCCCAAGGAAATCTGGAAGAAGGGCGGGCGCATCTTCTCGGTTCTGCTCGCCATCAATCTGGTTCTGCTGGCCTGCACACTGGTCAGCGGCGGGGCATTCCAAGATGTGCCCCTACATGACTATGATGTATTTTTCATGCTCACTGTTGTGATGCTGCTCACAATCGCCTGGATGCTCTTCTACATCTTCAGCACCTCCAAGCGGCCAGAGGCCATTCTTTGCAAGGACAACCATGCAGGGCCCATCTGGCTAAAAGGTAAGGAAGAGCTGATGGCTACTTCTTGGGTGGGAGGGGAAGCACAGAACGTGTCCCCGTGAGTACTTTTCCCATGGGACAAACATATGGATGAGATCTCCCACTCATAGCTCTCAGAGTTAAAAAAATATCCCTACTTCTGCTAGACTCAAAATGTTGAGCCCCATAACCAGGCAAGTCTTTCAGTGCCAGTGAAGAAAATCCTCAAAAGCAAAGTCAACTTTGAAATGGCCACAGGAAGTGATCGTCTTTGGCAAAGTTGGGACCCCTCGCTAGGGCTCACACAGGTGTTCAAACTAAGGTTTGGGTCCAGTGCGCCTTATGCACATACTCTCCTCCAGTGCCCTGCAGAGATGCATGAAGGGTAAATTAAGTGTATGCAGGGAAAGCAGATACCGTGCTTTTCCTGCAGGGGATTCAGGTGCCTTGTCTGAGCAATGAGGAGAGGACAGATGTCAGGTTTCTTGCCTGAAGGCTCAAAACAAATGTGGACACCACTGATTCTCCACCCCAAGTGTGCCTGCTCAGTCGAAGATTCAAGATTGGACTACAAATGTGCTTGAAACCAGCCTTATGCGGTCACATGTTCCATCTTAAACAAGCCTGGTGGTACAGTCAAATCACAAGATGGGGCTCCAGTTTCAGGACTGTGCATGCAACACCATCATGCTTGCTTTTTGTAAGCTGTAATATAAAAGATTTGTTGTGGATATGTTTGAAATAGGGGACATAGGATCTAGGAGCCTTGTTTGTAACAGGACGTACTGACATTTGCTTTCCAAACCAGGAGGTTTGGTCCTGTTTGCAATCCTCACACTGGTGATGGACGTATTTAAGACGGGATATTACTCCAGCTACTACCACTGCCTATCAGTCATCAAAATCATGTATCCAGTCGTTCAGGCAGTGTTTGTGATCATCCAGGTGAGTTTGGATCTTCCCATTGTTAATAGACTGCAATTCCTTTGTGGTGAATTTGCTGGCCATACAGTTGGGGTAGGATTACTTGGAGACATTAATTTCTTCTTTGGCCACCTTTAGATCTGGAAAGGCCCAGTCCTGCAGATTTTTCTTTTTTTAATTTATGATAACGCTATCTCTAGTCAGCTCCCGGACACTAGAGTGCCTTGTTAGCATTGCCGAAGGATCAATTAGTCCGCCCAGAAAAAGATTCCCTAGCTGTTCTACATGAAGCATCTCTTGTGCATTCATGACTCACAGCAGTTTACAGGTGCTTTATATGATATTGACATCCTCCAGGTTTCCTCCCATTCTTTCCAAGCTTTTTTTTTAAAGCTTTAAAAAAAAAATCCAGAAAAGTCTGGTATTGCCAGTAACTGGTGGTATGAAACTCTAGGACAGTTGCACAATTCTGCTAAATCACAGTGCCACCTAGTGGTTATATAGTGGAACATATAGAAACATAGAGAAAGAACTCTAAAAAATAGTCTGTAAAGGATCCAGCTTTAATTCCACAAAGAATTTGAAAGCAGAAGACTCGGCCAAATGACAGATTAAAAGCTGCATGTAGAAAAGCCCAAAGTTTCTCTGTTGTCCCTTACTTTTCCAGGATGCATCTGGGTGGGGGAAGCTTCCAAGCACTCGGGGCAGATGTGAAGTGCAGGGCACGTGTTTGCTGCAAGGAACCGTAGAATGAGAACCCAGTTCCTAAGTTAGATTTGGGAGACTCCATTCATGATTCTGTGGGAACTTGGCTGCTTGCATTTAGTGCAGAGCATAAGCAGGTTCAACATTATCCTCCTCTGCTGTGTCCTTTCCAAAATTATGACTTTGATCCAGAGCTGCTGCTGTACCAGCAGCAAATACATGTGATCACTCAAGACAGGGTTCCTGATTTTTCTGTGTATGCTACACCCCACTTCACACCTCCAAGCAAATATCTCCTGGGGGTTGGAGAATGGCATATATAGGATGCGGTCTGGAGATCTGGGTGATGGGTAGTAGAACAACTAAAATCAGGACCCCTCTTCACATTAGTAAAATGTTTCTTGCTTGCTCAATAGCAACTTAGAAAACATAGGATTGAGTCCTTTTTCTCTAACACTTTGGAGAAAAAAAATTAAGCTTAGAAAACAATTTAATCCAATTTAACAATTGTCTTACTTCAGGAAATATAGAAAAGTGCTATTATATTTGTCATTCTATCCTTGACCTCTTTAACATTCATACCTTCTTAAATTTACTTTCCAATGACTCACCTTCTGGTCTGGGGCAAGCACTGGACAAAGTTACAGGCTGACCATGTTCAATTTGATCTGCTGCAGAATAAATACCTGGGGGGAAAGTGTCACTCAATTTCAGCTGCTGCTGTTTTTGTAGGAATGAGATGTAGCTACTCCAAGATAACAACTGCATTCCTATGGTAACTGTACAAGAGATTCAAGGTGTCAATAAGCAAGACTAGCCCTATCCTTGACCTCTTTAACATTCATACCTTCTTAAATTTACTTTCCAATGACTCACCTTCTGGTCTGGGGCAAGCACTGGACAAAGTTACAGGCTGACCATGTTCAATTTGATCTGCTGCAGAATAAATACCTGGGGGGAAAGTGTCACTCAATTTCAGCTGCTGCTGTTTTTGTAGGAATGAGATGTAGCTACTCCAAGATAACAACTGCATTCCTATGGTAACTGTACAAGAGATTCAAGGTGTCAATAAGCAAGACTAGCCATGCTATGGAGACGTAAAAATCATTTGATTTGGGTTAGTAAAAGCAGAGTAAGTCAATGCGAGCAACAGCTAAATGGGCTGAGAAGAATAAAAAGACTTGAACATTTGGTGTCACTTCTGCTTCTTGTTCATTTATTCCTGCACTTCATTCCCAGTATCAAACCTACTTTGAAAGGGAGTTTTAAACATAGACTTGTTTCTTTCATAGACTTACTTTCTCTGCGTATCTGCCAGAGACTGTGTACACGTCCATCTGGATCTGACGAGGTAAGTAAGATCTCCTGGTTGAGTTCTTCCGCGCTGCTTAGCATTCTTTGGCTGCACTGCAGACCTTCCTGGCTGAACCAAGAGCAGGGGGAACAAATCACAAGACAAGAGGCAAACCATGAGAGCTTGGTGGGCCTCTGCAACCAAATGTCTGATCCTGCTCAGGGTTCAGCCAGTCTGGAACAGGAATACCATAGTGCTCTCTGGGTCTTACAGAGGGAGAAGAGAACTCTCTCAGTCTCTCTCTCCCCACTCTTGCTCCTGAAACCATTTGCTGCTCTTGACTGAGTCCCGCACAAGGGGCTCGGGATCAAAACTGGTTGGCTTTTCTGCTTGTAGTTTGGGTGCAGGGGATATAACTAGGGAAACCACAATGCTAGAGGAATAACATTTATCCTCTTAAAGGGAGGTGTACTTTGGGGAACAGTGGGGAGGCAAATGGCTTTGCACATTTGCAGGTATAGTAAAGGGCATTTCTTGTGGTGATAGCAGTGGCAACTCTTTTTCACACTTTCCTTTTAACAGTGCTGCATGTGGCTCAGGCCAGCCTTTAGCCCCTTGCTCTACCAGAACACCACGAAACAGGGCTGGGCCGTGACATTCAAGATGCCTTCTGGGAGGCGGGAGAAGGGCCACAGGCCTGCTCACATGGCCACTCCCCCAAGCCCAGGCTGTTGTTTTTCGAAAGCAGGAAGCAAGAATGGGGGTGATTTTTGACATCACAGCAAGCGCCTCTTTCCTTGCCCCTGAAAAAATCTGAGTCATACACACACCACCCCAAGCATCTCTGGAATGCCTTCCCCACCTCACATTTGTCACCCGTGAATATGGTGGCTTCATGAGCTTTTAGGCCAACATCCCATGACTCCTCCTAATAAAAGCTGCTAAGGACCAACATTTGCCTACGTTGGTTTGTAAGCCGGGAATGAACAGGGGTTGTCGGCAACTTCCAGCTTCTCCTTCCTCCATTTTCAGATGTGGCTTGATGCTGACCTTGACTACCAATCTAGCAGTCTGGATGTCGGCCGTGACAGATGAGTCAATACATAAGGCTGAAACCAAGAACCAAACTGGAAGGAGCACACACAAAATGGGTCAGTGGCTCAAGAAAGAGAACTGTGAACTCGAAGCAACACAATTCCGGAGTGGCAAGGGGGGGGGGATCCTTTTATTACTTACAGCAGTGTGCTGATAGAGAAGAGTGGCTCACCCCAAAATTGACAGCAACAGGCACTCCCAAGGAGTCCAGTGCAAATGGGGGTTGGCCCTTCCCTGTCAGCCCCAGGCCTTGCCTAACTCCTAAAGACTTCCAAGGCTGTACAGCTCAGTCTGAAGTCGCTTCTAAACATTACCTATTTTGAAAAATGTTGACTTTTTGTTATTGGGTGGGGTGGGAGCCTAAAAATTCAAAGCAGAAAGGTTCTGCTGTTCTGTAAGTGAGCCCAAATATGTTTCTCTTGTCTCTGTGCAGCTGGGTTCAGGAGCAGCCCATCAGACACCTGTACCTGTGACAGCCACCTCTGCCAGATCTTCAAGAAGGGCTATTTTTGGCTGTACCCCTTCAACATTGAATATAGCCTCTTTGCTTCAGCCATGGTCTACGTCATGTGGAAGAATGTTGGCCGCCTCATAGACCACCATGCCAACCATAAGCACCACCTCAAGTTCAAGCTTTTCAGAAAGACATACTTCTTGGGCATCATCATGGGGATTCTGGTAGTTGTGATTGGCATAGCAGTTCTGATCATGTATGAGGTTCAGGTAAATGCAAAGGACAAATCGGAAGCAAAGACTAAGAAGGCACTTGCCATGTATTACACCTTCAACATTGTTTGCCTTAGCCTGATGTCCCTCCTCTCCATCGGATGCTCTGTTGTATACCGATTTGACAAAAGAGACATGGACCGGCACAAGAACCCAACCAGAACTCTGGATGTCGCCTTACTGATGGGTGCGGCCTTGGGACAATATGCTATTTCGTATTACTCCATTGTGGCCACAGTGGCCAGCAAGCCGAGGGACACTATTAATGCCCTCAACTTGAGCTACTCCTTGCTGATGATTGCCCAACACACTTTCCAAAACATCTTTATCATCGAAGGCCTCCATCGGCAGCCACGAGAAAAGAAAAAAAAAGTGGATCCTCAGGAGAAAGACATCTACGGGCTCACGTTTGTCAACCTGAACGCTGTATCCCTCCGTGTGCCTGAGAGTGGAGGTGTGTCCCCATCCACTATAACCCCAGGAACACCTCAGGTGCCTTCTGAAGTGACGCACTCTATGAAGATCTCCCAGAAAGTGAACTGGAGGAGAAGATTCCTGAAGGAGAGCTCATTATTCCTGCTCATGTGTAACGCGATTGTAAGTAAGACTATTTCATCCATCATTCTGCAACACACACATCATGAAGACCATTTTGATTCCTTCCCGCACCCAAATGCCTAGCAGCAAAACACACAAGGGGGGCAAAGGTACCTCTCTGGCTCGAGTGCCTCATTTTTTACCCAAAGCGCTTGGAGGCATGGCACAGAGCCGCACTGGCGTGCCAGCCAATGCTGCCTGCCTCCAGTGGAATGCGACATGGGAGAAGCATGGAGCTGTCCTCACCACTCCGTTTCTCAGCTTCCTCTTTCTGGGAACACAATGCATGAGATGGCGTTGTCTGTTTCCCCACCCCGGTGGGGGCAGGAAAGAGAAACGGAAGTGTCGTGTTATGCTGGGCCTGCCATCGCCGGCCGAGTGCCCTCCGCAGGTGTGTCCCAACAGCTCCATTCCGCATGGCCATGATAGGATGATAGGCAAGGCAAGGCACCCAGATACCTCAAGGGAACCAGGTTAGTGATTGATGTGGGGGAAAGAGACGTGGGGAAAGAACCAGCAGCAGCTCTGTGTCTCTTGTCACGTCTAATTCCACTCACACGCCTAGCTGACACATAAGTCTGCGGTGTCTAGAGATGAAGGGTGAGCTCAGTCTGGAAACGCACTGGCGAGTTCTGATTTGGGGCACATTCTCCCAGGGTGAACCCAGGAGAAGCCAGTGCTGTGCGCTGGCTGCAACAGCTGGCTGTGCGCAAGACGGATCAGGTAAATCCGGCATCCCTAGCCCAATTTCCCCCAACCTCCAGATGTTTTGCTTTTTCACTCACATCAGCCCCAGTTGGCATGGCCAAAGCTCAGGAATCCTGAGAGCTGCAGTCCAAAACATCTGGAGGCTGTTCAACCCAATCTTTCATCTCCCTAAGCAGTTTTTCAACATTTTACGAAACAACAGTTCCTATCGCATTTTTTAAAGGTAGACAGCTCGCTGAAAGCATGGACAGAGAGGCTGCACAGAGGATGGAAAGAACGTTGGGCCTACTGTACCAGATTCCTCTGAAATGCATCACAAAAGTGGGGAAGCTGAGCTAGAATTGAGGGGGAAATAAGCAATGCGGCAAGGCCTGTGTTGTGTGTACATTTGACTATACTCCAAAAAGTTAGGAAAAGAATGCAGAGCAGTGATGTTCTTCCATCTGACTTTGTGGAAAGGGCATTCTGAGCCGCACAATGTAATTTCACTTTATACGTTCTTCTCGCAAACAAGTAAAGCAAAACATGCTCCATCATCACTGGTCAAAGTTTGTTCGTGTAGATTCAGATGGAGCTGACTTGAAAGTGTCTCATCACAGTCAAATGATTCCAACACAGGTAAGTTTAGGGGGAAATGTGTTTTAGGTAGCATTTGGCATGCAAAATTAATGTCCCCAGGTTTTACCATCAGTTTCTGTGATGAGAATAAATTATGCACATCCCTATATTTCTGTAATGCTATTTTTTCCTAATTTATTTTTACTATCTGTTTTTGCAATAAGGCAAAATTTGGAATTTGCATGACCTGGATTTTCCTAAGGGATTAGCGCGGATGTGGGCAATTTATGGCCCTCCAGATGTTTAGGCCTATAGCTCCAACCAGGCTGAACAGGCAGATGAAAATGTTATGGAAATCGCTGCCTTCTTTTTGGGAAATTCATACATGGCCACTCTAGGTGATGCAAATCTAACCTGAGCAGCATGAGGACAGCCATCCAGATTCACGTGTGTACCAGATATGGGCCGCTCTCAGACTTGACTCCATCCTGTGCTTGAGTAGTGTCACCAACCCTCTTTGCACCAGTTGCTCAGCCTTTCTGGTTTTTCTTGCTGACGCCGCTGTTCCTTTTGTCTCTTCCCCAAACAGCTCTGGATAATGCCAGCCTTTGGAGCCCGGCCACAGTTTGATAACGTCACAGAGCTCAAGTTCTATGGCAACCCCATGTGGGCCGCCATTGTGGACATCTGCCTGCCCTTTGGCATCTTCTACAGGATGCATGCCGTGGCCAGCCTGCTGGAGGTGTACATCATGTCTTAAGTGGGCCAAATGAAGGATGAGACAAGCCCACATTTCTCACATCTCCCAGGACTGATATCCTCAACAGCTGCACTGAAGGGGCTTGAGACTTCCTTGGGCATCAGACTCTATTGTGTAGAGCGCATTACTCAGTTCTACTGGTAATAGCCCAAAGTAGCCTGGGTTGGTTATTTTGCTTCTGTGTGGTTTGTTGCTGCCACCATTCCATTTAAGCACCTCCTTTTCTTCAGCCTGTTAAGAGCTGCTCATCTCCAGTGACTTTTTTCCTTACCAGGAAATGTGGACACAGACTCTGTACAGGCCTGCTCACCCTGGGGACACTGTGACTTCAGTAGAGCCGTCTGGGGAAGCTCAGTCTGAAGGAAGGATGTAGCATAGCTTGGAGACCACTGAAGTCATTGCACCAGGTTGTAGTTTGGGGGGCCTTAGTGGCTCCTTTTCTGCTCCCTCGTCCCTTTTCCAGTGATTCATGAAGGCATCAGGAGCATTCCCTGCTAGCGCTCACACTCGACACGTATGGTCCTGAGGTGTCACAGGCTTCAGTGGAACTTGCTGTCCTGAATCAGGGCCTGGGGACTAGAGGAACCTCTGACTATGTAGTCCATGGTTCTAAGATGCATTAGTTTTTTAAAGGTCATTTAATAATTTTTTAATGAACCTATTTTTATAAAGAATATTTATTGATTTTCATTGTGACAATAAAAAGATCATAGGGCAGACACGGTTGAACTGGACACATGAGCCCAACTTAAATATCAGGCCTGCCTCAACTCTTGTGATAGCAGACACACCTCAGATGCTAGAGGAAACTGGGCATTGCTTCCCTCAACTCTTCGGACTCCACCGAAGGCTCTCTTGATGAAGAGGCGATGAGGCACCTGCAAGCATGTTGCGGTCCTGTGTGCAGCTGGGCCTGGCTGACTCCATCTCCCGAAGTCGGCCCTCCCACAAACACTCTTCCTAATCCCAGGATAAAATTCAGGATGATGGTGTAACTTCCCAACTAGAGGCGTTCTTCTGTATTGGCTAGGATCATCACGTTTCAAATCCTTCCTAAGCGCACTACAGCAAATTGGCTACCCAGGAGAAGAGTGGGGCTCCTTCCTTCAGAACAGTTGTCCAGATCTGACACCCACTCTCAATGTGTTAGAGTTCCCAGCATCCCCAGCAAGCAAAGCCGATGGCAATCCTTGCAGGGCATGAGTGGCATTGTAATCTCGCATATCCAGAGAGAGCACGAGGTTGGCCAGGACTGCTTTCGGATACCTGTCACAGTCCCCTTTTGCCCTTGTTCAAACATGAAACCCATAGCTTGATTTTGGGTGCAGGTGGTCAAGAGAGAATCCTTGCGCAGCTGTGATTAAAATTTAGCACATCCAGAACCATCCTATGAATCAACAGCATTCCTCAGCTAGAAGCAACAGTAGTGCATTTATGAAGTATAGAGATGTGTAGAATCATCTGACACTCTCTCTTCCCCCGCCCGCCCCCCCCCTCTCTCTCACACACACACACACACACACACACACTTGTTCTCTCTAGCCAGATGCCGGTCAGGTTTGTTCCCTGTTCTAGTTTCTATTTATGGATTTCTAAGTTCTTATTTCTGGTGATGGACTTAGCAGAATCTGAATAGTTCTGGCAGATGTGGAAGTTTCAGACCCAGGAAATCTCCATAAATACTTTTTGAGGTTGTCATCACCGTGGCCTAAAATATCACATTGTTCATACACACTGTAGGCTCCCATCTTGGTGGAACCACCTGACCTGGAGTACTGGGTTCCTGTTAGGTTCCAAACTAAATTTGTCTCAAAATGAAATTCAACAGCATCTCTAGTGGAGTGAATTTGAAAGACGTTTAAAACTGTGGAAAAGTGCTAAATTCTCTCTTACTGAATAACTTCTAATCAAATGAAGGCTGAAATTCCACAGCCTATGTGATGTGGGAATGAAAGTAAATAACCACAGTAATTACCCACCCACACTGCCATTTTTTTTCCTTATGAAATTGTATTTACAATGGAAAGAAATGTAATTGTGCTGTTTAGAAAATGGTAAATGATAGGTAGCCAAGTGTTCTCCACTGAAGTTTGAAAATCTTAAGTGGAAGAATAAAAGAAAATCATGCCACTCCATCCTGCTGACCCTGTTCTCTTCTTTTGAAAACCCCGACTGCTGGTTTTCTCAGCCTGGTACCCCAGGAGTTACTCTCTGGCACAACTCAGAGCTTCTCGGAAGGAATCAGTTGGGGATCGGAAGACATTTGCTACCGTGGGGCTTGACTATAACACCATTCTGTAAAGCCACTGTGAAACTGTGGCTAGAGCATGGTCGGTCCAGATGTGGGACACGTACGGGGAAGATGAATGCAGGGACTAAAGGGGAATCACTGCAGGTTCTTCGGTAGTCACTTGGCAAGGAGCCACCGGTGTTCAGCTTGATCCTTTTTGAAGCATCTTGTTCAAAGCCGATAAGACTGGCAATGCTGCCAAGTTTCATAATGAGCCAGCATGTTGGTTGAAACTCGCCTATTCATAATGTTCAGCTTTGCAAGCTGCCTGGGTTGATAATATGTTACAAATTAAGTTCAGAATTTATTGTGCATGCTCTGATGTTCACAATCATCTAGTACACAGATTCCACCCCCACCCAAAATACATTTCCAGTTGTCCTGTCAGCTAGACCCTCCCCCACAGCTTGCTTGAAGCTGCCTCGTTAGTGGAGTCCTTTGTCTTGCTGCCGCCACATCTCTGGCTTTGAAGAGGCGGCTCCCCCTCCCAGTGCTGATTGCCAACAGGGAGCGAAGATCCCATTGCACCCCCACAGGGGCAGGAAACGACCGATGGGAAGGGGGCCACATACTGTGATGAGCCATGACTGATGCAGCAGGATGCAAGGCCCCTTGGTACCATACGTATGCAAAACACATCGAAACGCAGGGCACGGTTTCACCGTAAGGGAGAACTCTTATTCAGGTTCACCTGGATGAATTTGTCACTTTCTCAGCAAATAACAAACGCTATTGTCAAAAATGCTATTTTAGCAGGGACATTTTCAAAGAACTGATCCCACCAAATGAAATGTAGTCCTGGTGTGAGGTATCTAAAGCAGGGGTGCTGACCCAGTTAGGGTGAACCTGTGGGTTGGATGGCATGGGGCAGGGGGGCTTGAACACCTCTGGCTGCTTCCTCGGCCCAGGAACCAGCTGTTTCTCTCTTGCCTGCCCCACATCGTGAAGGCCCTTCCAGCTCCTCTCTGCTGCCACCTGTCTCCCTTATGCAGCACTGGCTCCGTGTTCCTGAGCAGGGCAGGGCACCCTCACCGGGTCTGCTCCTTGCTCAGCGAACCCACGTCCTCTGCACTGGTTGCCACCACGTTCCACTGGCCTCCCCATCTTCCTCATCTCTGCTGGACAGGCAGAGAGGGAGAGAGCAACCAGCCCTGCCACCTCCTCACCACCTCTGTGCCTGGGCAGGAGCGAGAGAGGGCCAAACAAGCAGGCTGCCATGGTGACAAAGGGGCACAACTCCAGGAGGCTTCTGTCCGTTCATCCCTATTTGATGTGAGCCCCTGGTAGGCATCCGGCCACGCTGGCCTTGCCCCCCACAGGTCATGCCAACCACCCTTTGTTGCCTGGATCCTGGGTAAGATTTCAGCTGCACAGTGAAACCATAATTTCACTTGCAGAATGAAGCCCTGCTGTGCACATGCAAGGGGACGCCATCAAAACTATGTGCCGTCTTGCACACAGAGAGAGACTGAACAGTGGGGACAATGGCCCTCACTGTGGTTTGCATGGTGCTGAAGGAACATGTATCCATGCTCTCTGTAAGTCACCTTCAGATTATGCAGTGCTTGGCTGTGGGTGAGTTGGTGGTGTGGGGGTGTTTTTAATCAAAGAGCTTGTTGACTCTGTTGTGTGTGTGATGAGAACCATGCAAAGACGTACACTCATGAGCAATGAACAAGACAGGGAAATAGCACCAGCTATAAAGCTGCCAATGAGGCAGCTATGAAATGACTGAAAGAGAAAAAAAGGTGGAAAGGAAAGGAGAGGAGAGGTGGAGACAGCAACAGCGGAGACCAGAACTTGAGTTCACAGTCTTGGTGTGCTTGTCCCCTCATGACTGATGCCAGGGAGTTTTCCCAGCTAAGCCTGGTGCAGCAGCTGTGCCCAATTCAGCACCTGGCATGCTCCATGCCTTAGTTACACAACGAGACTGAATGGCAACAATATGTTCTTGTCATGGAGTGGCAACACCCTGTTCCATGAGCAGAAGGGAAAACAGCCAAAATGCTCTGCTCCCGTTCCTCACTGCTCTGCCCTTCCTGTGACCCAGGTGGAAAGCTCTCCGCTTCTCCTCTGGCTGCATCCACCAAACTAGAATTAAAGCTCTTGAGCTCACAAGTTGTACAGAGGTTGGCTAATAGATGTGAAGGGTGTAATCCAGAAAGAAACTGGCGGACAGCTTTTCAAACAGCTAGGTTTACAATTTTACTGAAGAAAAATGTTAATAGGAAAAAGGTTTCACACACAACAAACAAACAAAATACACAACTTTAATGTGAGCGCTAAAGAAACTGAATTGCAAAAAAGTTTGCATACCTTGGCTCAAGCATCAATTGGAAAGGAGACTGCAGCCAAGAAATGAGAAGAAGGGCAGCAGCGATGGAACAAGAAAAAACCCTCAAGTGGAACGCTGACAGCTCTTCATGCATTGAACTTGTGAGCTACGGGAAGGGTTATTTATTTATTTATATTTACACCCCACCTTTTTTCCCCAAGGTGGCTTATATAATTCTCTTCTTGCTCTCAGTCTTATCCCCACAACAACAACCCTGTGAGGTAGGTCGGGCTGAGAGTCTGTGCCTGGCCCCAGATCACCCAGTTGGCCCTGTGGCAGAGCAGGGGCAAGAACGCAGGTCGCCTGGACCCAGGCTCAGACTCTCAGCCACTGCACTGGCTGCCATCACAAATGCGATGGGCTGCATAGCACACA